CTCGATCCCAGGACCCTGGGATCATGACCTGAGCCGAAGGCAGACGCTTAATGACTGAGCCACCCAGGCGCCCCTCTCAGGATATATTTAACTTTGCCAATGTACTTTCTCAGGATTTGAACTTATTTTCAAAGACGTAAGGCCTAAAATACCACAAGTAAAGCAGTCAAATCTAGCCACGATTTTACAGAAAGCAAGACATCGGGAAAGCTAAGCCATGGAACTAGTGTGGCAATGTCGCCACGAAAACAAAGTGTTGAGGTGCAATTATTTTATAGTCTGGAGACCTTGAGCCTCTAATTATTTGCGATTAAGTTTTCCATGTCCTATAGTTTTATAGTTAATAATTAAATTTGCAAAATTTCTACAGATTGGCGTTATGTTTGTAATTATTATTATTGAGAAACGGTAATTTAGTAATTCTTCCAAGTAATTTTTACTTATGGAAGGAACATTCTCCTCATTTCCTGCAGGGTGTCATGGGAGTTCATACGAGCCTTGTGTCCTGGGCGAGCCCTGCCAGTTTTCCTTCACGGGAGAGGGGGTAGCCCCTGCCAAACCTCTTACAGCCTTTAGGTCAGGAGAGGCTGTTTTTGACCCCCTAGTCTCAGCCTTCCTCAGTTTAGAGAGGCTTCTCTCACCCCACTTAGCCTAGGAAAATACTACTTACCCATGGTAAGTCCATGGATTTATGTGCTTCCCTTGGGCTCCTTCCAGACTTTTCCACCAGTGTGGGGGCCCTGGTCTCTGCTCCCAAGGACCCTATTCTTAGTTAGCAATTCCTTAAATGTGCTGCAGCTCAGGGCCATGGCCTATGTGGCTATGTCTTCTCCATAGAGGGTTGCCTGGTTAGAAGTGGGTTTCAGATGCGAGTCCTACTTATACTAGAACGTTATTTGTGGTTTATGTGAAATTCAGATTTAAGGAGGCATCCTTTTGTTGTTGTTGCTGCTGGTTTGTTAGTAAATCTGGAAACCCTCTCTCCAGGGCAGAGTGCAGTATATGGGTAGTAGTGAGGCTTTGGAAATTCTGGGTGAGCCTGCTAGATTCTGAGAGAGGTGACCTGGCCAATGGGCTGAAAAGATACAGGGCAACAAATAAAGCACCTGTCCCACGGCTGTTAACAATAGCCCTCCTTTAGGCATTAACCACGTTTAAATTAGTTTGGAAGAACCCCACCTGTTTTCTACAGGCCTTAGCTTCTTCGTATGTAAAATCAGGAGGTTGGGACACTGAATCCTTGAGAAGCCATGAAAGCAGTGGACCTCTCTCTCCAAAAACATGCATATGCCTAAAAATTAGGTGCAGTTTCAGAGAGTCACAGCCCCTGCTTGAGGCCTTTCCTTGGCCCTTGGTCAGGGCGCCACAGACCAGATCTCTACGGACCCTTCCAGCAGGACGAGGTCGTCATTCTGGGGCACTCATCCTGCTTAAGGAATAAGAAAACAATGAGCGAAAGTAGAAAACCATGAAACACCTCGCATGTACCATCTTGGAACGTTTGTGTCAGATGACATCAAAAGATTTTACGAACGTGAACCTGTTGGTTCCTACATCTCTGCTCACCTGGTGGGTCCTGAGTGGTTCTGTATTTGCTGTTTGTAAGAGGAAACTGAATCATAGGAGAAAACAAAGACTTTTCAGGATGGCAGAAGAATTCTCTAGGTGTCCTATCTTCTTGGACCCCTGTTTTCCATCTCTTTGGAAGGGAGAGGAGGCCTGAGAAAAGGAGAGATTCTCTGGTATAGTGGGTGCAGAAGTATCGGGGCAAAACAACCTGGGGGGGCCAGTACGACCAACATGAGGTACCCAAAGCAGTACTGAAGCCTGGAGAAAATACTAACTGGGGATTATGAGAAGGAGAGAGCAAGGTTTTAGGAGGTTGTGATAAAATCAATTACACTCAGCAATGGCCGCCATCTGTGGAGCGCTTACTCTGAAGGCGACGTGCCAGGAACTTTATTCTTTCTTCCCTCAATCCCCAGGACAACCCTGTGGGGTGGCATCCCCACTTTATAGAAAAGGAAATCAGGCTCAGAAAGAAAAACTTGCCCAGGGCCACAGAGGCTTTGTAACATTCATCTTAATCCACAAAATACCCCATTGGCACTGACGGGATGGGGAGAGAGTAGGGTCCCACGTCTCTATTCCTTACTCCAGTGAAGTCCCGGGATGCCAGTCTACAAGGAAAACCTGAAGGTAGAAGGCAGATCTTGGGGCTCTGGCTGGCCAAGTGTCTTGGCACTGCTGATTTAGCTGGAAGGGGACGCCAGCAGTCCAAACTGGGAAGGGGTGAGTTTAGCATTAGCTGTTTCTCGATGGTTCCAGATGTGTGCAACTGCTCCCAGCCTCTGATCAAGTCAAATGGTGGAGAGCAAATAAAGCAGACAGTGTTGTGGTTCCAGGTGGATAGAAGCCCTCGGGGAGATGGACAGGGATTTCCTGGTGCAGGTAGGGTCACAGTCTCAAAGGGTGGAGCTGTTTTGGTTTGTTGCTTTTATATGCTCTCAGAAGCCAGGTTGTCGGGACACCTCGTGCCAGCCTGGGGGCCCCCAGATTCTGAACTGTCACAGGTCCTCCCACCTCATAGATTCTGCAGGTTCTCAGACGTGGGCTTGAAGCCCTCAGATCTGCCTGCCCCCCCCCAGCCTCCCAGACCCCCGGGGCTCTCATGGCAGGTCCTGAGGGGGTTGGGGTGCATTCTCACCTGCTCCCCTGGCTGTCATGGTGGCCCTCAGGGAAATGGATGAAGGGAGCCACATCAAAGATGTAACAATTGCGCAGGATCCAAGGAGCACAACATCACAGTGTCAGAAATCATTACATGGGTCAATAATACAAAATCAACCAATAATTACTTTTATTTTCCACAATAATATGATAGCACCAACCAAATTCATAACCTTTAGTAGACATTTACTTTGAGCATCAAAATGACAGTTGTGAAAGGCTTTTGTCAATGAGCCCCTTCTATCCCGCCACTGCCTTAAAAAAAAAAAAAAAAAGATCTGAAGTTTAGGGAATACACGGCAGAAATGACATTTAACCTTGCCAGTATCTCAATTGATTCCATTTGACCCAGTTTTGCTTTGTGTCAAGGTCAAAAGCACTTGTGGTCTTACGGACTGAATTTTTCAATTTCCAAAAAGGCAGAGGCATGCTCAGAATATTGCCAGTGGGCATAAGAGATAGCCAAAACCTGGAACTGATCGGAACACAGCAATCAGGGTAAAGAACTGTCTTTTGTTTTTTGTTTTTTGTTTTTTGTTTTTTTTAATAATTTTTTTATAGTTAACCACCATACATTACATCATTAGTTTTTGATGCAGTGTTCCATGATTCATTGTTTGTGCATAACACCCAGTGCTCCACACAGAATGTGCCCTCTTTAATACCCATCACCAGGCTAACCCATCCCCCGACCCCCCTCCCCTCTAGAACCCTCAGTTTGTTTTTCAGAGTCCATCGTCTCTAATGGTTCGTCTCCCCCTCCGACTTACTCCCCTTCATTCTTCCCCTCCTGCAAGACAGAGGATTAACATTGTCGGAGCACTTATTTGTGCCTGTTACTAAGATGCGGAGCATACTATATATACCTTGTCTTGCTTCATCCTGACAAAAATTCTATCAGGCGAGCATTGTGTTCTTCATAGTACATGTAAGTGAACAGAGGCTAAGAAATCTCCCAGCTAGTAAGTGGAATTCTATTTCACCAGATCCCACTGCTTTCCAAGAGGAGGAAAAAAACCTTTTTTGACTAATATTTTAAAAACAAGTTTCTAAAAACTTGAGGTATAATTTACACCCATGAAATATACATATGCCTCTTAAGTGATCCATTTGAATCATTTTGGCCCTTGTTTACATTTCTGTAACCACAACCCAGAGCTAAATTGAGAACAACACTTCCGTAACTCCAGAAAGTTCCCTCGGACCCCTGCCAGTCAATGCCCGTACTCCCCATTTACTATCAGATTAGGTTTGCGGGTTCTTTAAAGTCATATAAAATGAAATAATACATTCCCATTATCTATCTGTGTCTTTTTGTGTCTGGCATCTTTCACATAACATAACGGTTTGAGATTCATGCATATTGCTTTTTTAAAAAAGATTTTATTTATTTATTTGTCACAGAGAGAGAACGCGCACACGAGTGGGGGAAGGGTAGAGGAAGACAGAGAAGCAGGCTCCCCACTGAGCAGGGAGTCCAGATGCGGGGCTCCATCCCAGGACCCTGAGATCATGACCTGAGCCGAAGGCAGACGTTTAACTGACTGAGCCACCCAGGCGCCCCGCATATTGCTTTTTATATCAGTGGTTTGTTTCTCTCCATTGCCGAGTGCTAGCTCGTTCATTTAAGGGATATACCATAGTTTATCCATTCTTCTGTTGATGGACATTTGGGTTGTTCTCAGTTTCTCACTGTTAGGAATAAGGTTGCTATGAACACTTTTTTTTCTAACTTATTTATTTTTTACTGAAGTAGAATTAACATACAACCTTATATCAGTTTCAAGGGTACAGCAGAGTGATTCAACAACCCTCTACATTACTCAGTGCTCACCGTGGTAAGTGTGGTCACCATCTGTCACCACACAGCATTATTACAATATTATTGACTATATTCCCTAAGCTGTACTTTTCATCTCTGTGGCTTATTTATTTTATAAGTGAAAGTTTGTACCTCTTAATCGTCTTTATTACTCCCGCCCCCTCATCTATGTCTCTCTGGCAATCATTAGTTTGTGCTCTGTATTTAAAAGTCTGTTTGTGTTTGTTTGTTGAGTCCATATACAAGTGACATCATCTGGTATTTGTCTTTCTCTGTCTGACTTATTTGTTATGAACACTCTTACGCGGGAGTTCGGGGGGACAGGGACGGGGACATATATTTTCATTCCTTTTAGGTAAATGCCTAGGAGTAGAATTACCAGGACATAGGGTAGATGCTTGTTTAACTTTTCAAAGAACTGCCAACACATCTCCGAAATGTTGTACTCTTGGTTAAATACTAAGGCTCATTGAACAAATATTGACTGAGTACTAATAAAATGAAACAAAAGTGTCTGCTGATGGGACAACTAGTTGAGGAGAACACAATAGACAAAGAAGTTAAATGTAAAATGTCAAATACAGATGAGTGCTGTAGAGAAAAATAAAGATCCAAGGAGGGAGGAAGAAGCATCTGGCTTGGGCAAGATTCACATTAGCTGTTGTCACTGAAAAAAAAAAAAAGAAGCAAAAACTGGATTCTGTTTCTTTTATGACCCGGAAGTCAGCTCATTGGATTTTGCAACCAGGAGGTGGTTTGGTGACCTTGACAAGAAGAGTTCCAGTGAATCATAAGACCTCTTTAGTTAGCTGTGAGTCATTCTTGTCCGTGGACCAGAGAAACAGCTTTAAACCAACGTAGGTGAACTTTGGGCTCTGGAGTCGGGCAGTCTGGGCTCAACTCCTGGCTTGGTCACTTGCTGAGTGCCCTTGGGCAAGTTATTACTTTCTCTAAGTCTCAATTTTCTTATTTGTGAATAAAGACAATGATAAGAGCCCTAACTTCATAGGCCATAAAGTCAAAGGAGATAATGCTTTGGTAAATTGCTTGGATGCAAAGACTGAAACAGGAGAAACAGTCAATTAACGTTGGTTGTCATCATTTTATTTATTTTTTTATTTTTATTTTTTTTAAAGATTCATCCATTTATTTTTGAGAGAGTGAGAATGAGAGAGAGAGAAAGAGTACATGAGAGTGGGGAGGGTTAGAGGGAGAAGCAGGCTCCCCGCCGAGCCGGGAGCCCGACGCGGGACCCGATCCCAGGACTCCAGGATCATGACCTGAGCCGAAGGCAGCCACTCAACCAACTGAGCCACCCAGGCGCCCTGGTTGTCATCATTTTAAAGAGGAGACCTTTTTCTTTCTTACACAAACTAGTTGAGCATTTGATCCCCGTGTCCCATTTTTCTCCAAGATGTCTGCCTATTCCCTGAAATTTGTAATCTTGTGGTCACGTCTGGCTTTGAATTGCTGCTTTGAGATCACTTGTGTTCTTCCCCCTAGAACTCTCTTCTCCACACTGACCCAGTGTGGAATTCAGCCTGCCTTCCTTGATTTCCAACCCCCCCCCATTCTTCATTTTACAAAAAGCAATAAATTATAGCAGAAATAATGGATGGTCGGGAAGATGAGGAAGGGGTCAGTCTATGTGAGAGCACCCAAAAGTCCTTGAAATGGCCCCAAACACCAGGAAATTGAATATTCCACACCGGAGTCTAGTCCTTCTGATACCAAACCATACTGCTCGGTCATCCTCTGGTGTTTTCCTCTATATTTCTCTTCTCCTCTCTGTTCTCAGCATTCCCCACACCCTAAAATTCCTGTTCATTTCTTTCCAGAGCTGTTCAATTGCCTCTTTGTTTTCTTGCTTTCTGAAAGCCCTGCTCTCAGAGTCCAATCTCGGCCACCGAGCTTCTTATCAACAAAGACTCCTTCCTTTTCAGGAGAAAATTTTATAGCAGTTGTACTTGATAAACAACATTTGACAAATGATGTCTCTTTGGTCCCCATTATCCTCTTGTGTGAGAGGAGATGTCTAATTTTGGATGGGGATTGGCATTTCCCCAGTCTGTCCGAGAGCATGTGTTTTCTCAGAAGAGGTGATATCTCAGAGGCTTGACTTGGTTTTCTGACCAGTGGAAGAGAGATTTGCGGGTCTGTGGGGCCCTGCTTGTGACTTTGTCTCTCTTCTCCTTGTCTTGCAGGAATGAACTTCACAGAGTGGTGCGGGGCAGGGGTGCTAAGAGCCTTGCCGGCTGGGTGGGGGAGTTTTCTCTGACCTGCAGAAAGCTGGCTTCATCCCCAAACTGTATTCTTGGACTCTCAGCTTGTTTTTTGCATGTTTGTTTCATTAAAGAAGACTTCAGGGTTTTCTTTATGCCTTTTAGCAAACTATATTCTCTTCTTTTGGTATTTTGCATTTGGAATTAGGCCTTGAATTGCAGCTTAATTGTTCTTCTTTTACTTTACTTCTCTGTAATTGCCAAGCTTTCTAATTTTATTTCCTTTTAAAAATACCTTTTAAAAATCCTCTTTCCTTACCACACACACACACACACACACACACAACTTAGGTGTAAATGTAACAGAATATGTACAGGATCTATATGAGGAAAACTACAAAGCTCTGATGAAAGAAATCAAAGAACTAAATTAATGGAGAGAGACCCCATGTACATGGATTGGAAGACTCAACAGTGTCAGACGTCAGTTCTTCCCAAGTTAATCAATAAATTCAATATAATCTCAATCACAATCCCAGCAAGTTATTTTGTGGATATTGACAAACTAACTCTAAATTTCAAACTGGTATGGGAAGGCAAAGACCCAGAATAAACAACACAAAACTGAACAAAGTTGGAGGACTAATGCTATCTGGCTTTAAGACTTAATATTAGCT